ACAAAAGTAAACATAGACATTGTTGAAAAAAATTCCAAATGTAAGGTTAAATAATGATTTCTTAATGCGAGAAACTAATATTCATACAAAAGATCTAAATTTTGGCAAAACACGTATAAAAGAGTTTAAAACATATGTAGAACCTATCGAAGTTAGGTTGACATTAGTTTTTTTTCTCTTCGTATATTTTCCTAATTAGATTATTCTGCACAAAAAATAGAGATATCTGGTTGGGATGCGTAGAACTTCTGGCTGACACCTTATATATATCGCACAATTTTATAAATAAACAACTATGTAGGTTAATAATCTCATGAATTAATTTGAATCTACCGTCAAATATGTTGACATAAAGTACCGTTCCATGAAACCTTCTTTTCGTACTTAAAAACTAGTCCTATATAGTTATAAATTCTAAAGCACTTTTTATTATTTAAATAAAAAATTTTAAGCAGAAGTTTGAAGCACAACTATCTATTATTATTCCGTCAAAAAATTTGGTGGGCAATAATAAAAATTCTACAAAAAGTATGAAGTACAGAAAAGTCTAAATTTTGATTTCTTTACAACTTCGCTAATACTTCTTTAATATCATGATGCATATTAACAATTTTGTCAAAAATAAAGCCAATTGTTTAAAACAGAAAAAACCAAAACGCCGTCGAAATTTATCAAACCTACACTATGGAATGTGGGACTACAAACATAAAAAATTTGTATATGCATAAGAAAAAACGCAGTAAATAAAACGCTAGTGTTAGAAACACCTCCAAGTTTCCTCAGGTAATCCAGTTGGTTCTTTTGCTTTTCATTCCACTTTCTTGCCTAGTGATTTAGTTTCTTTTTTAAAGAGTTTTTGTTTTTTCCGTACTAAATATAATTATACGATCCCTTCTGCGTACACTTTTCTGACTTAATATTTGCTGATGATTCTAAATTATTTATGAAGGGAAATGATAGATGCACTCGCTACATATGTAGATTTTATGCTTACTTTCAAAGTTAAGCACAGAAGAAAAATACTTATTTCTGGAAGTCAATCGCAATTAAAGAAGCAGTAGGTTGTGGCAGATTAGAGGGAAGAATACAAATATTTTAGATAATTGACAAACATTTAGACAATTGATTGTGGGTGGGTGACCACTTGGATTAGTCTGCGTAGGGACCGAAGGTGTGTGGTATTGGTCCTCGTTAAACTGTTCTACCGTAAAGTGCTCGACTTCGAGTGCAGGTCGTCGGGCTACCATCCCCTCTGCGGAGGATCAAAGTTGTGATGGTATGTCTTCGGATCATCCTCAGGGATGTTTCTCAGACCGTCACCAATAGCCCATTGTGTAGCTTTAGTGCGACGTAAAAGAGCTACGACAACTGACTCAAATAACAATTAAAGTACGCATAACTGATAAAATTTCTCTTGTATTGATGGGGTCGCAAAGTGAGAACAAAAGGGGACTACTTGAGTGATCATTAAGTTTAATAAAAGGAATTTCGACATTTCTGAAGAAAAAAAATAAATAAAATAAAAGAATTGGGATGAAATAAAATGAATTTTTACATGTTAACCTAAATAATAGTTATTTCAATAGCATTCTTTTTCTGGAAAGATACAGCTTAAAAAATCAAACAAAACAGGATCAAATAAAAGGAACTTCCCAATTTCAACTAAATTATGCTAGATTAATACTGTGATTCTAAAAGGAATGAGTATACTGTGAATGCGTATATTGCAGCAAATTTAAGTATGGTCTTTGAGTTTCAACCTAGCCCTGATAATAATAATTAAAAAAATATTTAAATTAAAAACTTTTTACTCTCCCATTCTAGTTAAGAAATTTAAGATAAAAGTTACAGAATAGTCTTAAATTTATTTTCCAAATTTGAATAAAATTGTGAATGTAATTAGGGTTCCCCTAAATTTCAGAAAAAAAAAAAAAATCTGACTCTTCTAGGTATATCAGGAAAATTTCAATGTAAATCAAGACCATATTTGATCTATACCATGCAATTTTTTATCAGAAAAAACGTGATTTTTTAAAAATTTAATGTCAAATATTAGATTTTGTGAGTGAAACAATATCATCGAAAGAGAATTGAAACACAGCAATGTTTCACTAAAATGAGGAATCTTTACAACAAATAGTTGCAATAGATATTATAATTATACAAATTAAATCTCGATAGCTAATTACTGTTAGTGACAATCATAAGGCTGTTTATTTTCGAGTCTCTTTTTTATTTAAAAAAACGCAACTTTTTCCTCACTGTTCCCGTTACAACTTTAGTGATAGACAAGACACACAAATACCATTACAGTGGCATTATTCATTCATATATTCAAAATGACAAAAACACACAAATCTGCAAGAGGAAAATAGATTTTATTCAACTAAAAAAAAAAAAAAAAAGATAGACTGCCACAATTGGATATGGCTTAAAATGGTTATGGTAATGGTATGCCATATGTTTTATGGTCATATTTTGTCAAAAAAAATATGGTATTTGAAGTGGGATATTGCTATGAATAAAGTTTTGATGAAAATAGTTGGGTTTTTTTTTTAAGTCAAAATTTGATCTTTTATTTATCCTAATGTAATGTCAACCAAAAAGTAAAAAAATTATTTAGACTTCAGTTATTCTAACTTGTTTTAGGAGATCATTCCTATTATCTTGAGAAATCTATAGTGGAGACTGTTAGAGGTACCATGGTCCAATTTTAATTTTTCATTTATCTATGCAGAAAGTAAAAATTTTAATTATATATTAAACTTTAGCAATAAACATTATACCTCTGTCCATAAAAATAATTTTTTTTTGTGAACAAACTCCGTTACAAACTTCAGAATTTTTAGAAATTATGGAAAATCATTCCAAGGTGCCTTGGTTCAATCATATTGATTAAAAAGAAAAAAATAATTTAGCAACTAAAAAAAGCCCTCTAAAACATGCTTATTGATACAAGCAACAACTACAAATACTGAATTTAAAACTCCTCCACAGTGAAAATATTTCTCAGTCAAAGGTCACTCTGCCCTAACATGCTGTTCCTGTGCCTGTAGCTTAAACCCCAGGGACCAGGTTTGAGCCAGGGGGGGGGGACCGTCTGGACACCCCCCCGAAATTCTGGGATTCAAACTTTAAGCATATTTCGGGATATTCCGGTTTGTCCTAAAAAAGTAATCGAAAAATTTTCTTCAAATCCCCGTCGCATGTCTTTGTAAACTTTGTAAAATCGATTATAATTATTATGTAATATTAATTGAAAAATAATTATTATGTAATATTTTTTAATTACTAGTTTAACTTTTGTAAACAGAATATTTGTTACAATGTTTTTTCCCTACTTTGCATGTCTGAAACTGTCCTTGCTTCTTACCATATCCCCCCCCCCCGAAAAAATATCCTGGTTACGGCCTTGCCAGGGACTAAGAAACAATTTTTTTTATAACTCAGTTAAAATAAAAAAATACGACGAAATAGAGATCTGTTTAGTACGCAGCAAAATTATTACTTTTATTCTATTTTATGCTAATGGTAGTTAACGATGTCCGGATCTTCTAAGTATATTAAAGGTAATATCACACGATTTTTCAGTGCAATATTTAATAATAAAGGCGTGAAACCATAAGAAGGCAATTATCTTTATACGAAGTACAGTGATACAGTGTAATTCCAATTATAAAATATATTTTGAGTCAAGTCATGACAGACAATTAAAATCAGGGCAACAGGTAAATTGTTAGCAGGAAAGAAAAAAAAAAGCAGCAAGAAACATTAATAATTTGTTTAATGTGACCTTGCTTTTCTAATAAAAAATAGTTTTATTATTATTATAGAAAAAGCAATTTTTCATGCTGATATTTTAAAATTTTTTTAATTCAACAAAAGTATATTTTAGTGTTTAACAATTTTGCAAGTAATTTCTGAACATCAATAATGCCCAGCTCTTTCTTAACCTCTTCATTACTGAAGTATAAAGGAATATAACAAAAAATATTTCACAGCTCTGAATTTTTATTTTATTGCCATAAGTCATAATAAATAAACGAAATATGAATTATACTGCCAGGGGGCTAATAATTTTAGGCACACACACAGACCTCAGGTTTTAACTAAGTAAAAGAATATAAATATTTAAAATGCAACATTGCACTTAAAGTAAAAACAAATAAGCATATTATTTGCTATATTACAGTCTATTTAAAAAACAATGATGAATAGATTTAATAAGTATTAAATTTATTTTTTTTTTAAACACGAAGTTTTATTTATTTAGTACAACGCAAAACTGCATTAAATCTCAGTTTTAAAACTATTTTAATTATGCAAAATCAAATAACATGAATATTTAAGACTTATTTACATTTAGATTCGTTTATAATTATTTAAGATTTATTAAGCAAAAAAAAAGAGATGACACAGAACTTGCTGCATTGTTCACTAGGAAATTGTTTAAATTTTTGTCTTGACTTTATTTTATTACTTCAAATTTTTTTTTTTTAAATTATTAATCGTTGCTTTCTACTAACTGGAAAAATAAGAGAGGGAAAAAAACTAGAAGATATAGAATTTTAAATAATTTGTTTTTGTTAACTGTTATTGAGAAACCTAAAAGCAATAAAAACATTGCACAAAACAGAACAACATAACATTTTTCTTAGAGTCAGTAAAAAAATAAGTAAGAGATAAACATGTTCAGGTCTAAAAAGTCCTCCCATTAAAGGAAATTTCGATAAACAATTTTGCAAGCACTTTTAAGCCATAACATAAATGTCATATCTTAATAGAATTTAAAAAACTATTTGAATTAACAAAATTGTCCAGTTAATTAAAAAAATAATTACTGTCTAAAAAATACAAAATTAGCAAAATTTACAAACAATTTCAAAACAAATAATTTTTCAATTTATGAAAGTATAAATATGCATATTTTAAACTTCTACAAACGTGGAAAAATCCTTTTTGAATGACATAAACCCATCTTAAAGAAAGAAAAAGGAAAACAAAATATATAAAAAGTTTATTCACACTATTTACAACAGAAATTGTTAAAGTTTCCTTCTTCACATTTCACCACACTGTGAAATTATAACAGGAATCTTTGGCTTATTGTTAGGACCAGTTGGAACATTTTCAATCTTTCTCATAACTAAAAGTCCATCTAAAATTCGTCCTAAAATATAATTGTATTTCAATTGAAACTCTAAAACAAGCATTCATTTACAATTGAAAAATAAATTACTTGCTTATCACTACTTATAGTTATAGAAAAAAGGGGTTAAATTTAGTTGTCCATTACAAACGATGGAAATCATATGTTTATAGAATTACAACAAATTAATTAATTCTAATTAAGAATATAGTAATAATTCAAAGCAAACTGTTAAATTTGTTTTTAATAAATTATCAGAATAACAAATAAATGTGAGGAAAACTAAAAATTAGGGCACTGAAGAAACTCTATTTTTACAAATGAAACTATGATTTTTACAAATTTATATCACAGTAAAACAAAATTCTATTTGATTACATGCACTCATGATGTCAAGGTTATTACAACAATATCTACATAATTATAACAATTCCATATGTATTGGATTGGTACTTTAATAAATTGTTAAACTATTAATTAAACTGCCATAAAATTATTTTTAAAAGAAAATTCATTTTTTGTAATAATCAATCATAATAAAAAAGGTAAATAAAAATGATAAAAATGTAACAATAAAAAAAAAAAAACATTTACACCTGAATTTTTTTATATACCATGATGCAAAAAAACTCTCTTCTTTTTCTTTTTGTAACTAAATGAATACTTTCTTCTGTTAGCTACTACTTGATTTTTGAAAAGAATAAAAAACATCTGCTTGATGTGAAAACCATCTTTCTTCAAATAAGAATTCTCAAAATTAGCTTGATATATTATATGTTATGTTAGGTCAAAATGGGTTAAAAAGTTCTTTATTTTTCTTTATAAGCAATTACTTTTACCTGTGCAAAAAGAGCATTTTGCCAAACAACCATGTAAATTATGAGCCATTAAAATATTGCAGGATGACTTTTTGCTTTATTCACTTTTGCTTATTACAGAGTTCCCTTTATTTGGAAAAATACCTTATAGTTGCCAAAGACAAAAATGATAAAATTTGGTAAAAGAGACGATATTTTATAAAACAAAAATCTTACAATAACAAATTGAACTTTTTTATTTTTACTGATAAGGTAGGAGAGGGATCCAATATAAACTTAAAAGTATGTTTAGTTTACATTATATTTAAACAGTCCCTTTTATTTATTTATTTATTTTTATTTAAAAAAATGAATATTTTTTAAATTAATCTATCTATTACAAAACTAGAAACCACTGTAAAATTCAACTGTAATCTTTTAATACCAAGATCTACCAGACATATTTCTAACAAATAATATGAAATTGCAAATATGGTTAACATTTTAAGCAGAGCCGAAATTATTAGCTATATACAAATTTGAGGAATGAAAAGAAAGATAGTGAGCTACATTTTGAAATTCCTTTAAGTGTTTATAAAAAGTAGATTATAACAAAAACAACCATAATAAATTAATATTTTTATGAATATAATTATTTATATCATTACACCATATTTTTTCCCCCACGGAATTTGCCTTAATTAAAAGATAAAAACAGATATTTTTCTTCTAGAAATAAAACTAGCATTATGAGTAGTCAAAATCAGAAAAATACATTGCATAGCATGAAAAAAAAGAAGTGTTTTATTCTTTTTTTAAAAAAAAAAAGTATTAAAAGGATGCAATTAAAAAAATCTAAAATGTCTATTTTATGTGCGGAAAATTTATCAACTATATTCTATCACTACCCTAATTTGCCTCTCAGTCACTGTGATTTTTCTTGTTCTGTTATTCATCTTTTTTCTCTAACAACTTCAGTGGTTTTTCTAGTTTTGTTTCTCACTTTTAATTTTGCATTTTGCGATGGTAACATAAATTTTTTTTAATTTCAAACCATTTTTGTTTCTTGACTTTCACATATTGCAAGTCTTGAAAATAGGTACCGATTTCACAAGTGTTTGAAACATGTGGACTGTTACTTCATATTTGTATATTTTTGAAGCTAATGAAGTTTTTTATCAGGTAATATACTTATGCATACTAATTATTTTTTAAAAGCATAATTTATGTTCAGTTTCAGCAACTTTCTTGATTGCATGTCTTTCATTTAAATTTAACTTCCAAATAGTTAGGCCATTTAACAGATTTACAATGATAGCTCAAAGATCTGAAATTTCTAATTTGTTTTCAAGAGTTCCTTAATAGAAATAGTTTTTTAAAAGCATAATTACTTTTTTTTTTGCAAGTTTTTTGATTGCATGTCCTTGATTTCAATTTTTTTTAACGAGGAATTTGTGCTAGAGCTACACTAAGTGAGTGACTACTTCAGATAATCTAGTGTTTATAAATAGTTTAAAAATTTAGAACACACATGGAAGTTTCTTGTATCACAATATAAACAAGTCCAATTTACACATTACACCAATATATAAATAAAAAATTATGAAACTATTTCCAGAACATAATAATATATTTTATGTAATCTGTAAATAAAATTTGCTTAATATGTCATCAAATATACAATTATATAAATATTTAATGAATAAAAAAAATAAACTGATTAAAAGAAATTACATTTATAGTTAAGGCGAAAACAAAATAATTTTAATATAGTTTTGCTGTACATTTAACATTAAATTCTAAATAAAAATATAATATTTTTTATCTAAGATTAAGAAATTTTAAGTTGAATTATATTGCTACGATTGATAAAATATATACTATACAAACAGGAAAAATCTTATAAACAAGGGATTTAGCAACAACAAAAAAGATAATTTTTTCTCTGATTTGATACCTACCAAATACTACATGTTTGCCATCAAGAAAATCACATTTCGCACACGTTATGAAGAATTGACATCCATTCGTATCCTTACCACTATTTGCCTAAAACAACAAAGTGAACTTAACAAAGTGTTCTAGTAAGCACAATTCAGCATTATCAATGAATAGACATAGAATACCTTAATATCATTAGAAGGACGGACATACATTTAAAGATGCATCAGGTGTTTTATCATAAAATAGAGTGTTATAAAGATATTATATTTAAAACACAAACAATCAATATGTAGTAGAGCTTGAATTATCTGTTATCTAAACTGTTTGATGTGAATTAGGTTCTGTTAAAATCTGTAAATGAGCTTTATTTCTTCTTGTTACTCCTTGATCAGTATCGACTATAGATGAAAGAAGATAGCAATGCTGGTTTACCACTCCCACTTCTCTTTTTAGATCAGTTAATTAAACAATACTATTTTCAGGAATAGATCTCTCTATAGCGATAATTGAAGTTCTGCTTTTCTTCAATTTATTTATTTCATTTTTTCGTCGAATCAAATTTTTACTTAACTGCTTTGGCCTTAAACTTTTCTTTAAAGTAGGAATAGCTGTATGAATTCAGCAACCAAAAAACAACTAAACTGGATTGGATGGACTGGATAGCAACTTTTTTTTATATGTTTTGCAGACAATTCTATCAAATCATTGTTACTTGGAAATTTTGGACTGTTTGTTATGAGAAAACTCACACTTACAACCAAGCTCCTTAAAAGCTTCAGCTATATACTGAGAGCCGTTAACAGAGGACTTACTACTTCTAGATAACTATGTCTAGAAAATATAGCTTTGGAAACATCGTGAAGTTGTAGACTGTAACCATTTAATTTCTAGATAGCTTGAGTTTGTAATCAATAAATAATTTTAATGATTGGCATTGTTATCATAGGCTTTATTGCCAGTTGTTTTGCCTTAATACAAGTATAACAAGATTCTACCATGTTCGTGATTGGGGACAACATTCCTGGTCACCACACAAACTGATTGATGACTTTTTTTTTACAATTCTCATGCGATGTTCTTTACATAGGAATTAAAAAGTGACCTTTTCAGCAGAAATTCATATCTCTTAGACTCAGGAATTCTGTCTAAGAGAAATGAAACTCAGGACTCTGTTGTTCTGTACAATGATATCTTCATGTATTGCAAGTTCATGAGGCATTGGCCAAAACTGAATAGCACTGAATTGACCTTATGTTTATTTAAAGTCTAGTCAATTTCAATTAATTTCCTAACTCCAAATCCTAAATCATCTGCCTGAGCTTCTCTTATGTCCTTTAATGTCTTATCGGATGTTTCTAGTGGTAGCATTACATTGTTTACACGGCAATAAATTTCGGATCCTACCTTATCTATTTCCCTTTCTTCTCCTTGCATTGGTGCTCACAACAAAGCATAAGCTGTTTCCAGTTAAATACAATACCTGATAAATATTCGATAGAATGATAGCTTGACACAAGCATTAATGGAGTAACCAAACATCACACAATGGTCATTTATGTTATAATAATCTTTAGAACACTCTAACATATGATATTACATCTGATGCCTCTTTAAACTTATGTATTAATATGTAATGTATGCTTCTTTTATTGATATTAAAGTATTCTATGTCTGTCCCGTAATCATGCTGAAATTTATCGGCTAGAACAGTGGTTATCAACTGGTGGCCCGCAAACTAAAATATATTAATTGTCATTTTTTTGCTAACAATTTTCGCAAAATATCTATATAGGTTTAAAATACTTTTTTTTTTCGTTAAAAACCCCTTAATTTCTCAGTTTCTGTGAAATTTAACATACCAACGGTGCAAAAAAATTTATTTCTCAGGTTTCGCATCCTAGAAAATATTTATTATTATTTGTAATTCAATATTTTTGTTCTGAACAACTTGAGAAAAATCTGACAGTAATATTCCTTCAAACATAAAAGAGTCCTATATAAAATTTTGACAAAGTTGCTGCCCGCCATTTGCCTGGTGTTTTTAATTGTGGTCCCCGGCCTCATATAAGTTGGAAACCCCTGGGCTATAACATAGTGTCAGAATTATAAATTGCATCTTATTTCAATTAAATAATAAATTACATAATAGCTGTTAGTCATACACTAATCAACCTAAAGCAATCTTAGTTGTTCGATTTATAAGATTTTACAAAATGGGAGCCATGTAAAAATATCGTTTATTTAGTTAACTTATTGGAAAAGAACACAAAATACAAATAGCATGTATAACACAATGCCTAGGAGAAAAAGCAGAAGATATTCATCTGTCTTCTGATTTGAAAGAAAGCGAATAGAAAACTTCTGCTGTGATGAAAGCAAAGTTTGAAAACTACTTTAATCCTCTGTTAAATTTGATATTTGAATGGAAAAAATTGAACATATTGGTACAACAGCCAAAACAAACTATGGAAGAACATGCAGTTCAATAAATAAATTAAAAAAACAAAAAAAAAAAAACAAGCTCTTTACTACCAATGCAAAACTTGAAAATTTAGAGATAAATGCACAAGAGATAGATTTGTTGTTAGTTTACTGAACTTTAGAATAGCTAAACAACTGCAAACAATTTCAGATCTTATGCTCGAAAAAACTATTTTAATTACAGCTCAAGCAGAGGAAGCTGATAAACAGCAATCAACTGAACATAAAGTTTAATAGCAACAATGTAAGCCACATTCGTTTCAGTCATCAATCTGGTACTAAGTTCAAGAAGAAACTAGCTTTTAAAACAAATTTCGAAATTATGCTAAAAGATAATTCATGTAAATGGTACACTGGAAGGTTCTGTTAATGTCTATATTGTCCAGCAAACAATAAAACTTGCCCTAAATGTAAGGAAATAGAACATTTTGAAAAAAGATTGTAAGTCAAAATTATATAAAATAGAAATTGCCTAAAAATATGCCACCACAAGGTGAAATGCTTTTAGGGGATGTTTGTAAAAACAAAAAGAAAAAAAAAAGAGTTTCTTACAGTTGAGACAATGAAAATATGAAAAAAAATTGAATAAATATGACGTCTTCTGGGGGTACCAGCTCTGGAAGTCATAAAAGCAAAACCTTTTCTGTCAAGAGAGCTAGACAAAAGTCTAAAATTGCACTCTCTGTACCCCAAAGGTTTTGCCAAACTCTAGGAAAATAATATAATAAATAATATACAATATAAAATACAGAAGAATACAATATAAAATACAGAAGCAAATACAGAAGAGTAAAAACAAGACAAATACATAAGAATAGTACGAATAATAATATTGGTTTTTCTAAAATTAAGTTTTGTATCGATAAAGGTGCCAATGTTACAGTTTTGCTGTACAATCAGTACTCTGAATTTAAAATGCCTCTTATTCATAAAGGTGGGTTAAGCCTATAAGGCCCAAATGATTAACGCTTAAACATCAAAGGATTTTGATCTGAATTGATTTACGAAAATAAAACAATTAAGGAGAGAATTTAAGGTATGAATAATACTAGAAAAGCTCTTTTAGCAAGACAAGCTGCTGTCCACTGGCCATGATGACCAGAGTTAATAATCAGCCAAGTGAATTAAGTGAATTATGTAGAGAAATATCAAGATATGATTCAAGGTTAGGTAAGTTGAGATGGAAACTACATAAAATAAAATTAAAAGCCAATGCTCAACCAAAGCCTGTTTAAGCTCCCTGCAGAATACCAACAACTTTAACTGAAAAGTAAAGAAAGAAATTGATTGCATACTAGAACTGGGTGTGACAGAAAGAGTTACGGAACCAACTGAGCAGTGCTCGTCAATAGTTATTGTCGATAAGAGTGATGACAACATCCGCATCTGCCTTGATTAAGCCAATTAAAATAATAGATAGAGATAGAATCGTATTGCAAACTGCCGATAAAATTCACCTCAAAATGGATAAATAGAAAGTTTTTATAAAACTTGATCAAAATTGTGGGTTTTGGTAAGTAGGTCTACACGAGTCGCACGATCCTTCATAACACCGCTCTTGTTTCACCAGATTGCTATTTGGTATCAGTAGCGACCCTGAATATTATCAAATGTGTATGATAGCACTAGAAAACTGTGAAGGTGTTGTTCCTTAACAAGATGATCCATTTGTAGCAAGCAAAGATATTAAGGATCAGGAAGGGAAATTAGATGTGGTGATGAAATTTTTACGGGAAGAGGGCATAATCTATTACTACACAAAGTAGACAAAACATTTCATGATTATTGAAATAACTAATATTAGAGTTTAAATAAGACATTTATTATTAATTTCATTTCGAAGCTAAAAATTTCAAAAATAATAAATAAAAATATACAAGACAGAAATAAAACATGGAGAGAGATTAAGTGTTTGATCAACAGTGGGAGATAGAGAGTCATAACAAAGAAAAGTCCCCATACGAAGTGAAGAGGTATGAGTAAGAAAGTAATGCAAATAAAACTATTCTGCCTTTCTAATATAATTGCATTGAAAAAGTAAAATCTGGATAAAATATTTAAAATAATTACCATTGAAAGCAAACCAGGCCCATCATGTTTCAGTTTAAAGTTTTCATCTACAAAAGTAGTAGCACCATATATGCTCATCACACCTGTTCCATCACCCTATAGCAACAATAAACAAAATTTTAAAAGAAAAATAAATACTTACAATATTCAATATGCAATACATTGATAATGTTGAAGATAATACCTTCTGCTAAATGATCAGTGAGCCTAACTATCTCACTGGTTTGTTTCAATGCTAGGGCAAATGGTGTAAATTGGATAAGCAATTTAAAAATATTATTTGTAATTTTTAAAATAAAGTTTGAATGCCAAAACATACTCATATTTCCAATTACCATTCATCAAACTCATGAAAAACGAATGCCCTAGATTGAGATAAAATTCCTAGGAGACTTAAACTAAACATCTTGGATACCAAAACAAAACTGTAAAATAAATAATAATAGTCAGATAAGGAAAAAATATCTGATTTGATAAAGAGAGATAAAATTGTGAACAAATAGAAAGAAACATGATAAAGATTATTTTGAAAAAATTCATATAGAGTGAGTAATTTACTTACATTAACAAAATCACCACCTTGTATCATAAAATCTTTAATTACTCTGCAAAATACAACAAATAAAAAAAATCAATTTTCAAAAAAAAAGTTAGTAAATCAATATTAATGTCAATATCAATGATATTGACACATCATTGATATTGATCAATTTAATTTTTAGGTAGCCACAAAGGGGTTAAAATAAATTAATCTCTTAAAAAAGACATAAAAATTATCTTAATGACATTTAATATTTTCATTCAAATTTTAAGAATTTTGTTCTTTATTCCTAGAAGTATATTTTGATTATAAAATCAATCAAAAAGTAATATTAAAGGAACAAATTTTAAACAAATTCGCTTGGAATTGACAAGCATTAGAAATCATAGTTAAGATGAAGATAAGAAAAAACACTTTCTAATGGATACAATTATAAATTCCATTGCAGGACTTTTTAATAGGCACAATTATTTTAGAAACATAACTGAATTGTATTTAATAATTAGTTTTACTTACTTAAAATATACTTTTATGTTGAAAAATAAATTAAATGTAAGCAATAAGAAAAACTAAAGAAACATATTTAATAACTTACAATGACAATAAGAATTGTGTCTTTATAATAATGATTTATAAACAGGTATTTTAGCAATGAATTAAACAGCAAAAAAGAACAATAAATAACAGCAACTGAAACAGTCTACAATCACAGAATAACAGACCATGCAAAAAAGCTAATTTTGTTATCAAACTTAAACAAATGATCTGGTCAGTGGAAAAAGGTAACTTATTAAAAATTATTTTATATAAACACTCAACTAGAAAAAGTTTCAGAATGACAAAAATAAGACCTGTGAAATATACATCCTTTGAAACCAATGGGCACACCATCTTTTTTATATTCACCAGTACAAAACTGCCTAGAAAAGAAAGAAGAATTGACTGAGGTTGCATAAATGAATAAAGCAAAGGATATTTGTTACATTAGTACCTGGTTGAATCCAAATAAAATTGCTAAGATTTCAACTGAAACTGCCAGTTATTGTATTTATATTTGGCTTAGACAGAAGATACCAAATAGTTTCACTTTACAAATTTACAACTTTCTATAATTTCTTAATCTCAAATTTCTAACATGATACTGCCTAATTATAACCAAAACTCAGTTGTAAATTTAGAACAGATACCAATCGAAAATCGTCCCTAAGTATAATTATAGAAGGTGTTTTCTATTTTTCAATGTTTAAAAACTTACTCCAATGCCTGGCTAAAAAAAATTTGCAAAAACTGAGAATGCAGCAGTGATTTTGATAATTTTCATCCAGGTGTAAAAATGTCACCAAACTGATGACTTTTACAAAAGTTTAATAACTTTTTAAAATATTTAAGTTATTTGTCTGTTTGATAGATAAGATAATTCTTCATGGCAAGATTATATATATAGTTCAAAATCACAGCATTGCTTCAAGTGTAAGGCACTTAAATTATGGCTTTTTTAATTTTCCTTGGCGACAGAGCTTAGAAAAACAGCATTTAACAAAAAAAATTTTTAACATGATTAGTTCAACAAATTATTCTATTAATAAATTTTTTTCCATAAATATATGAGTTTATTTTTTTAAAATGTCATTCAAATTCATACTTTAACTAAAAATCTAAATACTTCTTAAATTATATTAATAAAAATTACAATAAACTTGAATATAATATATTACGTAAATTGAAAATACAATAAATATTTTTTCAAGAGAACCATTTTTGTATCTTAAGAACATAACACAAAAATAATTAGTAGATTACAAAACATATGAATTACATTTAATAGTAGTACAAAGTTTGGTGCAGAAAAAAAGTTTAAAAAAAAGAAAAAAAAAAAAGAAAATTTTATTAATGTAACTCCAATATTTCAGCCAAATAATTAAAACCTTGGGTATAAATAAACTAGATATCATAAAAAATTAGGTACAGTCATGTGCATAAAATTTTAATAAAATTTAAACAGCCTATTTTTAACCTTAAAATCAGAATATTTTTGATTTCTTTTTTATTAAAACTTAACCTACGAGCCGATTTCTAAAACCTATCTTGGAATAATTAACATTGAAACTAAATATCATATTTCTCGCTATTTTATTTATTTTTCAGAATATTACATTAAATATAATAATTTTCTTGATACAAATTCGTAAATTCAAATAGCTTTAATGCTACTTTCTATCCCATAACATATTTACTGTGAATATTTTACTGGTTCCCATAAATTTTAAGTTAATATGGAAGCATTTCCATATCGTGATCTGTGGAAGAATAATCATCAAATCTTGGCAGCAGTCAGAGAGAAACTAAATAAAAAAAAAATTACAGAAGGAGACCAACTCTAAGGGTGTAACTTGTAGCTATCCGTAGGCAAACCTCTACATGTTCTTTTTTTTTTCTAAATTGAAAGGAAAAAAAAAAAAATCTATTTGGCACTTTGGCAATTATAGTTGGCGTGATAGATCATGATGCAGAAATATCCCCGATGGTAATTATAACTAATTGTACCTATAGGTATTCAGTTAAGGCAAAATTCAAGAATATATATGAGGTTAGAGTGTACAACCTTGAAACTTTTACTGTACGTAAAATCTTCAATTTTTCCAATTATTTCTATCACGATTTTTTATAATTAGAAAATTTCAATTTTAAGTCATTTCTCCTGTTTTTAGTAAGAACATAATAGATCGCCAAGGCAACCTATGTGCAAATTTTTACCAAACATGAAGACGATGTTAATTAAGAACATTAAAAATATGAAGATAATACCTAAAATTTTCAGCAGTTTTAGGCACTATATCAGCAAAAAGCTCCATCTTCATTCTTCCAACTTCCTAACAATTATAATAACATAAAAAAAATTATATTAAAAACATGAATTTTAACAATCTGATATATTATTAGAACCTGAAGTGTTTATAAGGTAATTTTTCATAGATATTGTAACAAAAAGAGTACTATACACTCACAGTTGATCCGATTGTTATATCAAAAAACACAACAGGATTATTAGGGTGCCTTAATTGCGATTGTATTTGATTCCAAGTAGCCATTATTAAAGCTACAAATTTAAAAAAATAATTAAATTAAACAATTAAATAACAATTTTATTTTGCAGGTTGTTTATTTTGGCCGGTTGATTTTCCGTTACAACTATGAACAATTTATATTTCATAAAATTTTTTATAATATTTTTGGAATTTTCAATGTTTACGGATCGAAATGAATTTTAAAAAAAATATTCTCTTAAAATACTGATAAATAACGTCTCAATTTAGTCAAATTAAATTAGTTTTACAAAAAGCATAATTCTTATTTATCTAGTTTAACAAGTAATGGCAACAAGTTCATAATTTTGTTGTCTGCTATTTTCATTGTTTTGGTAACTTTGTCTACGCGGTTATAAAAATTGTTGATAAAATCATGAATTTTAATTAGTAACTTCACTGTTTTCGGTTCGAAATGAATGCCGACAAAGAAGCTATCTACAAAGGCTTAATAAAGAAAATTGAAGAAACTGAAAAACTTATAACAGATTGTAAAAATCTACCAGAAATATCAGGCAGATGTAAGCTTCGGCGGAAAATTGAAGCTGAGCTGCGTTTCCTTAAAAGGGTATAAAATAAATCACTAATAATAATATAATAAACTGTTAATTAATAAAGAAAATAACAATTTTAAAATCTATGATTATTTTCAGAATGTACGTTTGTTTTAAATACTTTATTATTTATGTTTTTTTTATGTTTCTTGTCTATATTTTTTCTTTTTCAGTTAACTGAAAATCCCGATAAACTAAAGGAAGAACATATTCGTAGTTCTAATATTTATCATTTGTCTGCTATTGTTCAAAGCTGCAAAGAACTTACTGGTGTTGTGAAGGTTTTGGAAACATTTACCTATGTTTTAGAAGAAAATGAAGATGAAATCTATGAAATACCTTTAGTTGTTGATATAGTTGCAGATTATGGTAAAACGTGGGTTAAAGTTGCTACTCGAAACCCTATTCATCTTTATCAGGCTTCCATTGGTAATTAATATTTCATTTACTTTTAAGTGTGAATAATTTGAATCTTTGAGTTTCGATTCAATTGTAGTATTGTTATACTACAGTGTAATCTGGCAAAAAATAAGCAGGAAGATTTCATTATCAGTAATTGTGCCAATTCGGCAGCAACTTGCTCAAAATATTAAAGAACATCCTAGAATATAGAGTAAAACTTTTAGCTACCCCTAAAACAGCCACTACTTTTTTTAATTTTTGCTAGGACAGAAACTCTTGGATTTTTTGTAAAGATATAGATAGCAAAAACACGTACATATATGAAAATATCCCAGAATGAATTTGTTTAGATTTACCATAATTCCAATTGCAATAGAACTTGATTATTAGAAAAATGTTGGGTTTCAGTAATTTGATTAGTACATTGTATAGCGAGCTTCTTAAGTCTAAGTAGAAAAAATTTTCAACAATAAAAAAGCAGATATTTAAAATTTATATGCTGTTTGAAATAAATTAAAATCTGTCCCTAGGAATAAAAAAGGGCAAGGCACTTCCTCACAGAAAAAGGCACTTTTGAAGGGACATTGACTTAACACTGTTAAAATTTATCAAAATATGTAATATGTGATTATTGATTTTGATTCTCAACAATTTTCAAATTACCCTCTTATACTATTTTGTGTGTGCAATGTGTATACTATTTTATGTGTGTCAAAAAGTAATTATCACTCATTATCAAAGTAATAGAAAATTTTGTAATTATAAAAAATAATTAAAAGCACACTGAAAGACAATCACTGTGCAGATTTTTTTTTTTTAAAAAAAAAGCAGACTAAAAAAAATAATGGATAAATAGCTGATAGCTTTTTTTCTATATTTTAAACTGAAAAATATGAGAAAATAAGCATTTAAAGGTGCATTTTTTTTAAAAAGTATTTATTTAAAAACTAATTTTAATATTTAAAAGCAGTTAAAAATTAATATTTCTCCTGAAAAAAGAGAAACTAATAAAAATTAAACTAGTTGCAAATAATCCTAACAAAATTAATACATAGTTATATATTATAATAACATAGTTATTAACAAACAAAAAAAATGTTGTGATATTTCCCCTTGATTTGTAATGCTTAAAGCCTAATTTATCTAATATCTCAAAAAGTGTATAAAATTGTTACAATTATTGTCTGGTTTTATATTTCAATCTATTATTACTTATTTTTAATCCCTGTGGCAGAATTTGTTTTGGCTTTCTGCAACAAACCTCTCTAGCACTAATATCTTTCTGCAAGATACTTTTAACAATAACTAATATATATGTTATTAATTAAATTTAAAGTAACAGAAACGTTGTATTCACAAAGAAAAGCCTATTTGAGTATAATAAAATTGTATGTATTTTTTTAAAAATGAATATGCAATATTTTTTTTATTCTAATCATCTCGGGCGATATTGTCACATTTTGTAAGAGGAAAACACACTAATTATTTCGTTTTTTGCATTTTGTAAATCATCATCACATAAAATTAAAAATAATAATTAAAATAAAAATCGTAATTAAAAATCGTAAAATCCGTGAAGGAAAAGAAAACCAAAATAAAAAAATCACGTTGAAATTAATCATTCATGCTAAAATTAATAATTTCTTCCCCTCTGGAAGGGAAAAATAATTTCTGCCGAAAAGAAATTTTTTGTTTCAATATTCTTTATTTTTCACAAATAAGAATCGAAAAATTACGAACATTTCTTTCCCTTCCGATGCTCAAAAAAGCAATCTTTTAAATATAATTTTAAATAAAAAAAATTCGAAAATTTTTGCAGAGAGAAAACCAAAATTTTTTACTTTCTAAAGAAAAATTCTTTCTGCGAGAACTCTGTAACGTTCTGCGACATTGTCGCCGTGTCGCCGCGATTCTGCCACAGGGTTTTTAATCAACTTCTTTTGATTAAGATGTCTAATTTAAAAAGAAAGATTATAATATTTTAAATAATACTTTTCAACTTTATTGATAAAATATCTCATTAGTATATGGTCTAATATATCTGGTACACGTATTTATTTTCACATTTATCAAGATTTGAATATAATGTGTATTTGTTAATATGTCCGAAGTAGTGGTTTACTTTCAGAACACTCAAAGGGACAGTTAATCTCTTTATCAATGTGGTTTATTTTTCCAGAAAACTTAAATCAGAATTTACTTGATTATTTTTTTAGGAGCATAATTTTTTTTCTTTAGAATTAATGAGAAATCATAGAGCTTGTGTGGACCATACATGGCTTATTAAAAATGATTCTTTTAGTTGTCTTTAGTTCTTTTAGTATAAGATTATGATTTTTATTTTTTATCAATAACTGTAATTCTTATTATTATTTAAGGTTATTAATAAAATATCTTAAATAATTATTCTTTTCAGGACGAGGAAAATATGGAAGAAAATCGATCGTGGAACAAGTTGAAGATATGGTTGAATGTGCTAATCAAAACCAACATATGTTTGCTCCCCCGAAAATTATAGTGCGCTTAGCTGCTGGTGTCACCAAAGAACTGAAAGTGATGTTGGATGATTTGAAAGTAGAAGTAATTGGTGATATCATTAGTTCTGATGGTGAACCAAGTTTTAATGAAAGAGATGCTACTGATGAAAATGAACCTGAAAGTGGGCTGTTGGAAGGCAGTGAAATATCGCCATCTTTTGAAAAACTTAATTTAAATTCTAGTGAAGTTGTGTGTGATATTTCTAATGATTCTTATATATTTGAGAATAATTTACTTAATCCTCATTCATTGCCTTCAGATGCTGTGCTTAATTTAGATGTTTCTACGTTTTTAGCATATGTATCTAATATGACAAATGGACACTGTCATGCAAAATACAACGAAAAACTTTTAATGGACTTGGCTGAAATGGAGAGGGCTCATCCAGTCAAACCGATATTAGATAGTATTTTTGAAAGTATGTTTTATTAAAATATATGTAACTTCTCCATAAAAATGTTTTTTTTTTAATTTTTTTTTTATTATCCCTTTTTTAATACATTTTTAAGAATTTATCTTAATGCCTATTGTTGTAAAAAACAATCTTGACTATCTATTTTTGGAAATAATTTTAACAGAGTCTGAATTGACAGAGTAGAAAGAATAATTTTATTTGAAATATATTTTTAATACAATATGAAGAATTGTTTTAAATACTAACAGACAGGTAGTTTTAAAAAGTATATGAGGGTGGTACAGATTATTTTATACCAATATTTCAAAGTTTTAGAAAATTTAAAAGCGGAATAAATTTTTTTTGCAATTCCAAGTAATTTTTTATTAGTAAACTAATTTTTTTTAAAAAAAACTTATTAATTAGAAATTCCAATTAGTAATAGAAAAATAAATTCTATTAATTTTTTTTGAAGGTAATGATTTGTCTAGCATAGGTACTGATAAATGATAATGAAATTAAATTTATCTGTATTAGTCCTTAATTATTTATTAAAAAGTTATCTAATATTAAATTATATTTTATTTAATTAGACATAATTCTAATATGATTTTTTTTTATAAAATAATTTTTACCTTACTAAAAATATCTAAAAGGATTTTCGTGGAGATGCTGATGAATAGTAATTAAATTGACCTGTATTAGACCCGAATTATGTGTTAAAAAATTATGTAATATAATTTTGTATTTAAAGGAATATTTTTTAATATAATTTTCTTTTTAAAAAGAAATTTTGCATTCTCTAAAAATTTATTTTTATGTCATTTAATCTATGCAAAAAGATATTGTATTTTTTTAAATTATTTTCTAAAAAATTAAAATCTTAAAATGTCATTATTTTGGCAAACAAAAATGACATGTAATAATTTTCTTGTGCTGATTTCTATTTATTGTAATTTATAGCAGACTTTTTCTTTTCTGTATATATATATATATATGTTATATGTTATGGACACTCCTGCAAAACGGACGCCTCTCAATATGGACATATTTTTAATTCCCTGGGAATCTTCTATGAATAAACCATTACGTACATTCTCCGCAAAGCGGACACTCCTGTAACCGTACGCGGACAGTCATTTTGGTCCTGAAACGTTGTTTTTTATCTCTACAAACCGGACACTACTTTTTCTAAATAAAATGCAAGCTAAAAAAATTCAACTTTTCACCATTTTTGAAGCATGTAAATAAAACTTTTTGCCTTATCCATAACTAAAAATATTGTTAAGCTATTTCACCACCGAAAAATCAATCTTTCTCCTGTCACCTTGCCTTATCTTTGTAAAGAAAGGAGAGAAAATGGTACTGCACTCATGAAATAATTCTGACATCGGTATCTTTTGATCTTTTCATCTGGACCACACAGGTTATGAGACCCCTCAAGTTGAAATGACTTCTCTCAATGCTT